ACAAAACTATGGCTTTTGACAGAAAGTGGAAGAATATGGAAGATTTACGGCTGAGTGAAGCAAGCCAGGCTATGAAGGAGAGACATTGTATGTCCCCACTTAATATATACCGAATGTCCGTACTCTAATAACTGAAACTGACGGGTTAAAGGATGTACAAACACAAGAGGTGGATGTGAATGCCAGCTGGGGTGTGTGGTGGATGGGGGGGGGGGTGGATGTGAATGCCAGATGGGGTGTGTGTGTGAGGGGAGTGGGGCCTGGGGAAGAACATTTGGAGGAGAGATACGAAGACAGCATTGTTGAGACAGGGAGGTAGTGTTGTTTTATTTTGATCGTGACTGGGGAGAAACGTTCATATATTGAAATGATCACCTTGTAAGCTAAATAATGTGATTGAATGTATTAAAAAATGTAAATAAAAATAAATTAAAAAAAAGAAAAAAGAAAACCAACACAACAGTAGCTAATTAAGGAGGAGACAAAAGAACCAGATAAATCAAATTCAAAATGAAGGAAGCAATATTACAAAAGACATAATAGAAATACAAAACATCATTAGAGGATACTATGAACTACTATATGCCAACAAATAAGAAAACGTGGATGAGATAGACAAATTCCTAGACACATAAAATTTACCAAGACTGAGTAAGGATGACATAGAAAGCCTGAATAGGCCCATAACAAGCAATGAGATTGAATCAGTAATAAATAACCTCCCCCCCAAAAAAAGCCCTGTTCCTAACAATTTTATCTCTGAATTCTTCAAAACCTTTAAAAAAGAGTTAATATCCATTCTACTAAAATTATTCTAAAGATTCAAAAAGATGGAACCCTCCCAAATTCAATCTATGAACCCACCATTGCCTTTATCCTTAAAACAGAAAAGGACAGGACAAGGAAGGAAAACCATAGACCAACATCTCTGTGAATATAGATGCAATAGTTCTTGATAAGATACTAGCAAGTCTTATCCAACAACATCTAAAAAAGATTATACATCAAGACCAGGTAGGCTTTATTCCAGGGATGCAATGGTTCAACATAAGCAAAACCATAAACCTAATACACCATATTAACAGAAACAAAGATCGAAACCATGTGATTACATCAACTGATGCAGATAAACCATTTGATAAAAATACAACATCCTTTCATGATCAAGACTCAGCAAAATCATCATAGAAGGATCATTCTTCAACCCAATAAAAGCTATCCATGAAAAACCCATAGTTAACATCATTCTGAATGGAGAAAAGCTGAAAGCTTTTCCACTAAAAACGGGTACAAGACAAGGATGCCCACTTTCTCCACTCCTTTTCAATATAGTACTGGAAGACCTTGTCAATGCAACAAGAAAAGAGAATAAACTAAAAGGCATTCAAATAAGAAAAGAAAAGTTGAAATTATCTCTATTTACAGATGACATGATTGTATACATAGAAGACCCAATGGTATCCATTAAAAAATTCCTGGAATAATACATGAATACAGTAATGTTGCAGGATACAAAAGTCAACATATGGTAATCTTATATATGAATAGTAAGCAGACTGAGATATATGAATAGTAAGCAGACTGAGATAGAACTGAAGAAAGTAATTCCATTTACCATAGCCACAAAAAGTGTAAGATACCTATTAATAAATCTAATCAGAGAAGTCAAAGACCTCCATGAGGAATTTTATGAAAAGCTAAAAAAAGAAATTGAAAATGACACAAAAAAAGTGGAAGGACATCTCATGTTCCTGGATTAGAAGAATTAATATAATCAAAATGGCAAATCTACACAAATTAATGTAAATATTTAACACAATCCCCATTAAAGTGCCAGAGACATTCTTCACAGATCTAGAAAAGACAATCATACAATTTGTCTGGAATCATTAAAGGTCTCATATTGTCCAAATAATGCTGTACAGTAAGAGTGGAGTGAGTGGCATCTGACTCCCTGACCCCAAAATACATTATAAAACTGTGATAATCAAAAGAGCATGGTATCAGCAGAAAAACAGACATATGGACCAATGGAACAGAACAGAGACCCTAGAAATAAACCCCAAAATATACAGCCAACTAATTTTTAACAAAGGGTACCAGTCAATCCAGTTGAGAAAAGGAAACCTTCTTTAGCAATAGTTCTGGAAAAACTGGGTATCTACCTGCAGTAAGATGAACCAGAATCCCTATCTCTCAACACTGACAAAACTCAACTCAAACTGGATCAAAGAACTAATTCTAAGACCTCAAACTGTAATACTTCTGGAAAACACTGGAAAAACTCTGGGAGACATTGGGGTATGCAAAGACTTCTTATATAAGATCCCCACATCACCAAAAATCGACAGTGGGATTACATCAGATTAAGAAGTTTCTGCACACACAAAAAAGGACATACTAATTAGTGTGAATCAGTAGCCCTCAAAATGGGAGAATGTTTTTGTAAACTATGCTTCAGATAAGGGACTGGTGACCAGAATACACAAGAAAATCAAGTAACTTACGGGGGGGAGGGGGGGGAAGATTAACTCAATTAAAAGGTGGGAAAATGAGCTAAATAAACAACTCTCTAAGGAAGACACATGAACAGCCAAAAGGCATATGAAAAAATGCTCAACATCCCTTATTAGGAATAAGGGAGATGCAGATCAAAATCACATTAAGATACCACCTAACCCCAGTCAGAATGACTAAGATTAAAAAACAAAAAATGGTAAGTGCTACTTGGGATGTGCTGAAAGAGGAACTCTCCTACACTGCCAGTGGGAATGTAAATTGGTCCAGCCACTGTGGAGAACAATATGGGGATTCCTCAAAGATTTTCAAATAGAACTACCATAAGATCCTGCAATCCCACTCCTGGGTATACATCCAAAGGACAGTAGTAGAACGCTTAGTTGGAAAAGTGCTTGCACATCTATGCTTACTGCAGCAGTATTCACAATTTCTAAGACATGGAATCAACCCAAATGTCCACGAACAGAAGAATGGATTGGAAAAGTGTGGCACATATACTCTATGGAATACTATTCTGCCATAAAAATAGACCCTGGCTTTTGATAGAAAGTGGCTGAATATGGGAGATTTTCTGCTGAGCAAAGCAAGCCAGGCTATGAAGGACAGAAACTATGTCTCCACTTAACACATACCGACTGTCTACAGTCTATGGTTGAAACTAAAAGACTAGAGGATATAGAAACATAGAAAATGGTTATAGATACTGAATTCAGTGTGGAAAGAGGGTCAGAGAAGGAGGAGGGTCTGAGAAAAGACACTAAGGGGAAAAAGAGAGACAAGACATTTATGGGAAACAGAAATGGGTTATTATCTGTTGACGATAACATATATAGCATCCCCAACTGGACTGGTAAGAAATGCATTCATGTTGGAACATTCACTTTACAAGTCAAGTGTTGTATGTGACTGAATGTATAAAGTAAATTAAAATAAAACATATATAGAGAGAAAAGTCTAAACATACTTGAGGAATTCTACCTCAACACTGTTATGATTCTCAGCTATGAAGTTCTGAGTTTTCTACTTAAAAATGATGAGACAGTATAAAACAGAGTTCCTTAAACTTTGTTTTACTGACATCTTGGATCACATTTTTCTTTTTGTTGTGGGATGCTATCCTCTGGCCTACCCATTAGATGCCAGCCACACCTCCACCCATGCGGATCAAAAATGTCTCTAGAGGGGCCATCAGGTGGTGTGGGGGTTAAGACACTGGACTCCCACATGGCTGACTACTGTTCAAGCCTCAGGACCTGTTGGTTTGAAAATCACACTGAACATTGAGTGTGTTCTCAAAATCCCCAGAGGAGACTGGAGAAGAAAGGATTGCAGAGTGGCCTCCCTGGGGGATGAGAGGGGTCATTTCTCACTTTCCTTCTGTCTCTCTCTCCAGCAAGAGCTAAAAATACTGAGATATTGGACCAGATTAGAATAATGACGAGAACTATAAAAGACATGTGAGTTCACCTGAAATGGAATTCCATGATCCGTAGAGAAGATATGACAGGGTATTCCCTTAAAATACGAAAAAGACGCAGCTTGTCCTCAGCATGCCAAAGCCTTCCTTCAGATTTGGAATGGATGCACAAATATTTGGTGAGTGTCTACTATGTTCCAGGCACGATGCAACAGGCACATTTCTAGGTGCTAAGAACAGAGTAGTGAATAAAACTTCTCCCAAATTTTGCCCTCACGGAGTTTACATTCTCATGGGAGGGAGAAGTGGTCATTAAAAAAAAAAAAAATGTAACATATCATATGGTAATAAGTGCTCTGGAGAAAAATAAAGCCAGAAAAGGGTAGCAGGAGTCCTGGTTAAAGGGATTCTGTTTAGAGAGACCATGGAAAGTCTCACTGAGCTGATGGTATTTGAACAAAGCTACGTGAACCTCACTGCTAGAAGGACCCCGTGCTCATGTCTGGAAACACCTGTCTCAGACCAACCCCACATCATTGTACTCCCAGCGCCCATAACAACAGAGCTGCCACCAACTAAGAGCACCGATTCTCCCTCGAAGTAGGCGTTCTCTCTCACCAGGAACTGTGCCAGGGGCTCCGCAGACAGTGTTCGCAGCTGGGTAACGTGCATATAATCGGTACTCATTTTCAAAGAAACTGAGTGGTCGGGTGGATACGTCCCTGTCACGCGACTCGGAACGGCGGATGAGAGCTTCCACCCAGGTCTTCCTCACTCCAAATCCGCAAAGGCCGCTCTATGAACGCTGTTAAATGCACAGGCAGACGCAACGCCCAGGCCTGCGCCAGGGCCTGGCAGGGGCGGAAACGCCCTCCGGCCGCGCTCGGTCGACACCTGTTCGGCAAGGCCCGGACCCGGTCCCTCCTCCAGGTTCGCAGCCC